TGAACGTCACAGGGAACGGCAGCCAGTACGCCTGTGAACGTCACAGGAAACGGCAGCCAGTACGCCTGTGAACATCACAGGGAATGGTAATCAGTACGCCTGTGAACATCACAGGGAATGGCTGTCCATGCCTATACAGTCTCCAGAGCCTTTGTGGGTTTACTTTGTTCATGCTATACACCATCCAGGTTTAGACCACATCTTATGACTGTCGTTATTTCGACATTTATCAGGGCTACTCCCAACTCCTTTTCTATTTTGATGAAGTGAACTTCAGAAATCTGGGTTATCTTGTATTCCAATGTTAATCTAATTCTCTTTGTTTTGTCACTCTCCTTGCCACACTAAAGAAATGTGATTTGTTCAAATAACACATTATCTGATATGCATGAGTCATTCCAGCTCATCGTGAACATTGAGAATTCTCAATTTCTCGTTTGAATTTTTATACATGTTAGAATGAGGGCAGATTGTGTACAGGTGTTTCAGTAACTACCACTGGGTACTGAATGAAATGATAACCTGCAACTTCTAGAAACTGACAGTAACAGGGAAATATCAGATCAAGTAAATACTATTAGGACAGGACACAATAGCATGAGGAAGTAACTAGAATTATGTTTATGATTTGCCACCTAGTGGAATATTATTTGTATATGCCTTTGCAGTTTGTGCTTTATTTACTTAGGCCACATGGGGTACTCAAACAGAAAGATACAATTACATTTCATACTTCTGCAGGGCTTATGTTGTTTTAAATGTTTTAAGTGGTTTGACAAAGCATGCTGACAAGTGTGAGTGTCACTTACTTTAACAATTAATGTTTAAAAAAAAAATGGAAATGGACAAAAAGATTGAACAATGGCAATAAGTACATTCACTTTCCTCATCCAAGTCACTAACATGTATTATAAATAATTGGAGTCCCAACACTGATCCCTATGTCACTCCCCTTGTTACGGATTGTCATCCTGAAAATGTCCCCCCCTTATTCTAACACACTACCTTGTATTAGTTAGCCAATCCTCAATCCATGCTAATATACTGCTATCAACACCACGGGCTCTTGTCTTATGAAGAAACCTAATGTGAGGCACCTTATCAAACACCTTCTGAAAATCCATGTATCACTTCCATTGCTTCCCCTTTATCTATCCTGCTAGTTATCTCTTCAAGGAATTTTCCAATTTTGTCAGGTGTGGCTTCCCCTTCATGAGGCTATACTAACACTGCTTGATCATATTATGTATTTCTAAATTCTCTGCCGTTACATCCTTTATCATTGAATCCCTACAGTGCAGAAGCAGGCCATTTGGCCCATCAAGTCCCCACTGACCCTCTAAAGGGCGTCCCACCCTGACTCACTCCATCCCTGTAACCCTGGACACCCCTGTGACACTGTGGGCAATTCAGCATGGACAATCCTGTACACCTTTGGATTGTGGAAGGAAATCAACCCAGACAGTCACGTGAGGGTGGAATCGATCCTAGGGGTCCCTGCCGCTGTGAGGAAGCAGTGCTAGCCACTGAGCCACTATACTGCCATAATAGGCTCTTAACATTTTCTACAAGTATTCAAGTGAAACTACTGCAAAATCAACTGTGTCCAGCTGGTCAGAAATTGTCTCCCTCTCTATCTTAGTTGGCCAGGGTTTCAGGAGAGAACAAAGAAAACACTTCAAGGACACGCTGAAGCATTCCAATGACATGTGGCAACATGGACTATAATGACTGAGAGGAACTTTCAATTAGTTCTTCAGAATGACAGCAACTGGTCTATGACAATTGGACAAGCTGCATCATGCTTTGAGTCACAATGTCTTAATAAGACAGAGCAATGGCAGGGAAAGAAGTAAATCCTGTTCTCCAGATCTCTCCCCTTCAAGAGACATCCTGCTTCAGGTACCCAGAGACCAGCAATTCGAGAAGCAGCCTGTTCATCACAGGAAGGCCCACGGGAAAAACTCTCACAACTGACCAGACATCATCCTTGAACAAGGACAGCTGACAGTGAGGCAGTATGTTTTGAGCAAGTGAGGAAAAAGTATATTCCCTTTTCTTTTTATATATATCATTCCTTATTTATTAAGCCTTCGATCACTTAGAAACAAAGTATATAAAATTAATACTACCTTTTGGTAATAATTGGTCAAATGTAACAGGGAAGAATATTTTTATTAAACAGCTCATACAATTTTAAATGTGGTTTTCACCAGCAAATTTAAATCATTTTTTTTTAAAAAAAGATCTATAATTAATTGTCTCATTTTGAGGAACTGTTGGCCCTGGAGACTCAGTGGACCTCCTAGAGCAAACTTGTTTAGGGTGAAGGAAAACTTTAATTTCAAAATAGCCTATTAAATCTGATACCTAACTCAGCTCAACTGTCTATAATTGCTGGTTGTGGACACATCGTGCCAACTTTGCAGGTTGTTTGGGAGATTGATAGATCAGACATCTATTGTCACATGGGTCACCGAGGGGCACTATATCCCACTGACTGAAGGTGGGAAGTTGCCTGACTCGGGCTCCAGAATACAGGGTTCGCTTCTGCCATGAAGAGAACTGAGGACTGTGAAAGATTGAGGTATACATTGTATCACACAATGCTCTGCTGTAACATGCGACACAGCATTGCATTGAAAATGCAAAGAGGAATCAACAGACCCACCAATTTCAAATTCTTAAGCTACTGAACCATAACATTGGGGCAAGGAAAAACAGAAAACATCGGGTCTTGAGAAACAGAATCCAGTTAGACAAAGTCGTCTTGTTACAATATTCTGCTCACTCCATATCCTTTTATAGTTAGCAAGGCAAATGATGAGTTATTGAAGCTGGCAAGGGGAATGCAGGGGAGGGAAAGAGGTGTCACTTTGCTTTGGCACAACTCATTAATGCCTGTGATGCTGAAACACTGGATATGAATCACTACTACTACACTTCTTGTGCTGTCCAACATTCAGTCATCAGTTACTGTACTCGTTTAACTGACTTTTTGTTCTGTGTGTAATCACAGCAATGATACTATCTATTAGTCTATTACAAAGAACCTGAAAATACGGCAACAGCTACTTAAAGATTCACTCATTGTTTCGCAACTCATATCTAAACTAATGACTGTTATTGACTTATCTCATAGGTCTGTGTTGGAGTAGAATGTGTAACAGATTGAAGCTCAGAGTCAGCTTGAAGGAGTAAATCCCCAGAGTAACACGTTTGGTTACACTGCAAATAAGAAGCTAATACATAATGTTTATCCCAATTAACTTACTGCATTTCCGTTCAACTTGGGAAAGAGTTGGACAGCTCCCAATACCATTGTAGGATTGAGCTTGGCATGTGTTGCTGAAGCTCCCTGTACTGTGGGCCCAGCACACAGACCCGTGCTTAGTGTATCAGTTATCCATATGAGTAACCTGCTGCTGGATGTACTTACCCTGGGTGGAGCAGTGTGCAGGATGCGAGCCCTCGTCTTGCTGAGTGTACGTGCCCTCTTCTTGCCAGTTGGTGGAATCGTGGGATGAAGCGACAGTTGCCATTTTCATCTGCTGGCACAGACGGGTCTCCTGATGCCGATAACTCAGGCCTTCGAGAGGCTCATCGGAATCGTCATCTGAAAGATACGGGGCACAGAACACAGATCCAACTGACTCCAGTTCATTATTTTCTAGCTTTTCCACTCACTGATCTGGAGTTATCACCAGTCTTCAGGTTAAATGTGCCAATCTACCATCTAACTCACATAAACACTGTGCCAATACATTTCTGTGTGACACATAGCACAGTTCCTCATTACAGTGCATCACCGCAACTTCAGGCTAGAGTTAAGGGCTCAAAATCATTCCTGCAGATGGACCCCAGGTTTGTAAAGACTGAATATGTTAGGTTTTTGAGTTCAGGATAATTGCCCTAGGATCAATATTCAGACAAATATGAACTTTAATCGGAAGCTTGTGCTGAAATGAAAATGTTACTTTTTGACAGTGGGCTCTAACAATGCCCACGGAGAACTGATGGGACTTAAAGAAAGGCAGACAACGTTCTTGTACTCTGAGTCACAGGAGCAAGGTTTCACAAACAGCAGTGTAATGATGCCCAGATCACCTGTTCTCAAAAACAAAAAAAGCCGAAAACAAACTCAGCAGGTCAAGCAGCATCTGTGGAGGAAAGGGACTTGCATTTCAGGTCGCTGGCCTTTTGTCAGAATCTGTTTTCATGATGTCAGTTGTGGAAATAACACTGACAGGATACTCTCCTGTTTTACTTTGATCTTGCATTATACAATCTTTTATACCATTTGACAGCAGCAGGGGCTTCAATTTATTGTGTTATTTGAAATCTCAATTTATCATCTCAGACAATACAGTAAGTGCCTCAGTGTCACACTGGGAGTGTTAGCCTGGATTATATGTTTAAATCTGGAGTGTAATTTGAACCCACAGCCTACTGACTCAGAAGCAAGAGTCACAGCTGACATCAGTTCTGCAATGACAGGCTTTGAGATGTTTCAGGTGAAACCTTCTATAGTCCATGTCACTTCAACATACTGAGCGCAGTGGCTCACTGCCCGCTTACCAGTATATACCCACTGTACAGCTGCTGAAGCAAGCAGTCAGAATGTCTTTGCTTTCCTATTCAGTGGTCAGCAGCCAGCTGGCTGAGCATGGTCTGTCTTCATTTCAGGGAAGTGCAGATCAAAACCCTGTCTACCAAAGGAACCGGGTCACTAGAGTGTCCATGAAATTCACAGAAATATAGGATCATGGCTGAGGTCCAATAGAAGGATTAATGTCCCATCTGTGCACTGGCTGCAAGGCTGAATGAAAGAGGCTTGCTACAAAGTCAGTATACATTGGCCCAATGCTCACAAATGGGGATATCTCACTGTGAGGAGTCATTAAATGGGATTGTGCACGAATGGGAGCGGTCATTGGAGAGACAAGTTCAGCTCCGCAGCTTGGCTTAGTTAACCACTATCTTTCCTGAGTTATAAGACCATGGTTTCAATTCCCAATTCAGGATTTGGATACATAATCTAGGCAGAGCCATGAATTTTACACTGAGGAAGCACTTCATTGTCTAGGGTGTTATATTTGTCACGCTAAACAAAGATCCCGCTTTGTCTCTTCCATTCATTTAGATGGATGCTCACGAACCCATTGCAACTACTTCAACTTTCTCCCAGTGTCCTTAATAACATTGACATTATGTATAAACCTCACAATTCATCATGCAATCTTGTGAAGTTTGCTTGTACACAAATCGTCCTTGCATTTACATACACATATGCAACACTAACTGCAATTCAAAAGCTACTTGATGATAGGGAGGGGACAGAGTCAGATTGTAGAGTGCAGGGAGAATGAGCAGGACCAAGCACTGCAGATCCCAGAGAGAATGAGAACTCATCCAATAGAGGTTTGTTTTGCAATGTTTCTGGTGTGTCTGATACATATCTGTGGATAGCACTCCCATCTATGAAGCAGCAGATTGTGGGTTCAAGTCTCACTCCAGAAACTGAAGCTCTAGAATCAAAACTGACACTCCAGTACAGGACTGAGGGACCGCTATACTGTTGGAGGTGCTGTCTTCTGAATTACATGCTTATCTGAGGCCCTTTCTGTCCTTACAGATCCCAAAAAGAGCAGAGGAGTGATCCCTAGTGTACAGGCTGTTTGTGAGAGCTTGCTGAAGTACAGTGGTGACTACGTTTAAGACTACTTCACTAACTTGTGAAGCATGTTGGGGCACGCTACAGCTCTGAAAGACGTTTCTCTCTGTGTAGTCAGTAAGCAAAGGAGGTTTGTCCCTTTAGTTTGTCAGTGTATCGGACTGAAAAAAATAGCCACGGATAGTTTGAAAGTTTGAGGCAGCCGGAGAAGCACTTTAGGAGAACGCTGAAGCTCATCACTCTCATATCTTGTGTTACCGTGAGGGGTGAGTAATCGATTATAAAATCATGGCTACATTTAAACTTGGCTGCTTGTCATGGGCTCACTCATAGAAACATAGAAGATAGGAGCAGGAGGGGGCCATTCGGCCTTTCCAGCCTGTTCTGCCATTCATCACGGTCATGGCTGATCATCCAACTCAATAGCTTAATCCTGCTTTCTCCCCATAACCTTTGATCCCATTCGCCCCAAGCGCTATATCTAGTCACCTCTTGAATACATTTGATGTTTTGGGATCAACTACTTCCTGTGGTAATGAATTCCACAGGCTCACCACTCTTTGGGTGTAAAAATGTCTCTTCATCTCCGTCCTAAACGGTCTACCCCGAATCCACATACTGTGACCCCTGGTTCTGGACACACCTACCACCGGGAACATCCTCCCTGCATGTACCCTGTCCAGTCCTGTTAGAATTTTATAAGTCTCTATGAGATCCCCCCCACCATTCGTCTGAACTCAAGTGAAATCAAACCTAGTCAATCTCTCCACATACATCAGTCCTGCCATCCCCGGAATTAGCCTGGTAAACCTTCGCCGCACTCCCTCGAGAGCAAGAGCATCCTTCCTCAGAAAAAGAAACCAAAACTGCACACAATATTCCAGATGTGGCCTCACCAAAGCCCTGCAACAACACATCCCTGCTCCTGTACTCAAAACCTCTCGCAACGAAAGCCAAAATACCATTTGGATTCTTTACTGCCTGCTGCACCTGCATGCTTACCTTCAGCAACTGGTGCGCAAGGACACCCAGGTCCTGCTGCACACTCCCCTCTCCCAATTTGCAGCTATTCAGGTAATAACCTACCTTCTTGTTTTTACTTCCAAAGTGAATAACCTCACAGTTATCCAAATTATATTGCATCTGCCATTGATTTGCCCACTCACCCAACCTGTCGAGATCATGCTGAAGGATCTCTGCATCCTCGTCACAGTTCACCCTCCCACCCAACTTGGTATCATCTGCAAACTTGGAGATGTTACATTTTGTTCCCTCATCCAAATCATTAATACATATTGTGAATAGCTGGGGTCCCAGCACCGATCCCTGTGGCACCCCACTAGTTACTACCTGCCAATTTGAAAAGGACCCATTAATTCCTCTCTGCCAACCAGTTTCCAATCCATTTCAATACACTTCTCCCAATCCCACGTGCTTTAATTTTGCACATTAATCTCTTATGTGGGACTTTGTCAAACGCTTTCCGACTGGCTCCTCCTTGTCAACTCTACTAGTTACATCTTCATAGAACTCCAGCAGATTTGTCAAGCATGATTTCCCCTTCATAAATTCATGCTGACTCTGTCTCATCCTGCCACTACTTTCTAAATGCTCTGCTATAAAATCCTTGACAATGCATTCGAGAATTTTCCCCACTACTAACGTTAGGCTAACTGGTCTATAATTCCCTGTTTTCTCTCTACCTCCCTTTTTGAATATTGGAGTGACATTAGCTACCTTCCAATCTGCAGGGACTGTTCCAGAGTCTATAGAATCCTGGAAGATGAACACCAATGCATCCACTATTTCTAGAGCTACTTCCTTAAGTACTCTGGGATGTAGATTATCAGGCCCTGGGGATTTATCCGCCTTCAGTCCCAACAATTTTACCAGCACCATTTCTCTACTAATATTGATCTCCCTCAGTTCTTCCCACTCACTAAATCTTGCCCCCTCCAACAACTCTGGTATCTGATTTGCATCCTCTTGTGTGAAGACAGATCCAAAGTATGTATTCGGTTCCTCAGCCATTTCTTTATCCCCTATTATACATTCCCCTGTTTCTGTCCGTAGGAGACCTACATTTGTTTTTACCAATCTCTTTCTCTTCACGTACCTATAGAAACTCTTAGTGTCAGTCGTTATGTTCCCTGCATACTCCACTTTCCCTTCTTAATCAATCCCTTGGTCCTTCTTTGCTGAATTCTAAACTGCTCTCAATTCTCAGATTATTTTTCTTGGCCAATCTGTATGCTTCTTCCTTGGATCGGATACTATCTCTTCTTATTTCCTTTGTAAGCCATGGATTGGCCCTCTTATCCATTTTGCTTTTGCAACAGACAGGACTAAACAGTTGCTGCAGTTCCCCCATGTGTTCCTTGAATGTTTGCCATTGCCCATCCACTGTCATCCCTTTAAGTAACTCTCCCCATTCTATCAAGGTCAACTCATGCCCCATATTCTTGTAGTTTCCTTTACTAAGGTTCAGCACCCTAGTCTCCAAATCAACTACCTCACTCTCCATCTTTATAAAAAATTCTATCATGTTATGGTCACTCTTCCCTGAGGGGTCTCGCACAGCTCAGCTGGCAATGATCCCCCCTTCTCATTATGCAGCACCCAGTCTAAGATGGCCTGCTCTCCTGTTGGTTCCTCCAAATATTGGTCAAGAAAACCATCCCGTACACACTCCAGGAATTCCTCCTTCTCTGCATTGTGGCTAATTTGATTTGCCCAATCTTTGTGCAGATTAAAATCACCCACACTCACTGATATTCCCTTATCACATGTATCTCCGATTTCCTGTTTAATGCCATTCTCAACATCACCACTGCAGTTTGGGAATCGATATTTGACACCTATTAATGTTTTTTGTCTCTTGGTATTTCTCAACTCTACCCATACAGACTCCACATTGCCAGAGCTAAAGACCTTTCTCACTATTGTGTGAATTTTCTCTTTAATCAGCAATGCCGCTCCACCACCTTTTCCTTTTTACCTGTCCTTCCTAAATACTGAATACCCTGGGACATTCAGTTCCCATCCCTGTTCACCCTGCAGCCATGTCTCTGTTATCCCAATCATATTGTATCCGTTTACATCTATCTGCACAATTAGTTCATCCACTTTATTGCAGATAGAGCACAAAGCCTTTAAGCTTGTCCTTTTAACATTGTTTGTCTCCTCCTTATTTTTTCTCAATAGCCCTGTCTGAATCTTGTCCTTGGTTTCTCAGCTTATCACTTTTCTTATTCCTTTTTCTAGCTTTTGTTTTTGTCTTTGCTCCCTCCTTCTGTAACTCTTTACATAGGTTCCCATCCCCCTAACCAGTCCAGTTTGTACAGGTCCCACTTCCCCCAGAACCTGTCCCAATGCCCCAGGAATCTGAAACCCTCCCCCGACACGTATCTTTTCAGCCACATATTGATCCGAGATATCCTGTCATTTCTCCTCTGACTAGCACGTGGCACCTGGAGTAATCCTGAGATCACTATCTTTGAGGTCCGATTTTATAACTTTCTTCCGAGCTCCCTGTATTCTGTCTTTAGGACCTCATGCCTTTTGTTACCTATGTCATTTGTACCGATGTGTACCACGACCTCTGGCTGTTCACCCTCCCCCTTCAGAATGTCCTGTAGCTACTCCGAGACACGCAAGGCTCACTCTAGCTTTAAGAAGCTCAATTACTCAATCTGACAGAGGCACTGTTCAGCGAATGCAGTTATAGAGTCATAGAAATGTGCAGCACAGAAACAGACCCTTCGGTCCAACTTGCCTGTGCCGACCAGACATCCCAATCTGACCTAGTCCCATTTGTCAGCATTTGGCCCATATCCGTCTAAAACCTTCCTATTCTTACACCCATCCAGATGCCTTATAAATGTAATTGTACCAGCCTCCACCACCTCTGCTGGCAGGTTATTCCATACATGCACCACCCTCTGTGTGAAAATGTTGCCTGTCAGGTCCCTTTTAAATCTTTCCCCTCTCACCTTAAACCTATGCCCTCTAGTTTTGGACTCCCCTATCCTGGGGAAAAAAGACCTTGGCTGTTAATGAAATCTGAGTCTCAGATGAACAGAAATTGTTTCTCTAACCGTCAATGTGGTGTCTAACAGGATTTTGTAATGCAGACATGAGTGCACCTATATGGGTCTGGAATGCATGGCCTGGGAGGGGAGTTGAGGCATAAAACCTCACAACCTTTAAAAAGTACTTCGATGAATACTTGATGTGTCATAAAACAAAATGCTGTTGGCGTAGAGTAGGGAAAGTGGGACTAGTAAAGGTTGTAGTGTATTTTTGGCAGTACAGGTTCGATGGGCCAAACAGCCTTTTCTATACTGTATCATTCTGTGATATTAAAACTACTCCCAGTCTCCCACCTTATTTAAGTTTGAGATGTTGTCTGTTTGCGTTTCTCTTTTTTTCCCCAAAAAATCTGTGCAGATGTGTGAAGTACTTGAACAATTAAACGTTCCTCATAAACGGATATTGTTAATTGCTGCACTGCATCTCACAGGCAGGTCCCGTGACCTTTAACCTTGTAATAAAATGAGGTCAATGACATGGTAGTAAGGCCACAGCAGGAACTGGACATTCTTGTATTAGGACATTAAATAGCTGTTTGAAAATCAAGAAACAACAGAAGAGCAAATAGGAGAGCCAGATTATGCTCATGTGGAGAACACTCGAAGGGCCAAGTAGACTTTGTTCTGGAACATTCCAAGTTTCCACATTTAGAACAGAGCCAATGTATATATAAAATCATATTCAATTTGGAACTAACCCATCCTGGTTTCCCTCACTGATTCATTATTCTAATCGGTTTCCCTGTCCCCTACCCAAATTACCGCTGATTTAAAAAACAGAGACATTTTTTCACAGTAAAATTTCTTGAAGGAATGAGCAGTTCATCAAAACATCATTTTTTTTTAAAAAAAAGTCAACTTGCTGCCAAGCGGTAAGTAACGTTGAGAAATATTTTCCGGCCCTTACTGGAAAAGAGTTAAACTGAAGTATCTCTCACTGCCAATTTGCAATAAACTCAGCCAGCCCTTGCTTAACTACAGTACTATACAGCTCCAAAACAGAATGGCTGCTGTAGCAACACGCTGCAATGAAAGTGTGGGCACAGGCCCAGAATTGATTACTCCACATGAAACATACACGATCATGGCTATGCCACAGAGAGACGGGCAGAATTAGGGCCAACTTGGACCTACATGTCTGGCCTGGCAGCCCATCCTGGTGTGCTGATCTCTTGCAATGCTGGCTGCAGTACTGGCAAGCGCTGAGGTAGAATAGTGTGAGATAACGAAACAAAAAACAATGGGATAAGGATATCAGGAAATCTCCTCTCTCGATAAAAGGGAGAGTATCTGCCCTGATGCAGCAGACGAACCACCAAGTTCACTTCAAACTTCAGTCCAATCCTTGGTCTGTGCTGAGTTAACTGATCTCTTGCATATTGGGGGCTACAATTATTGAGAGTACCTACAAACTACTCGGTGGTTTGGGAAAGGGAGGAAGGAACAGGTAAAGCTTCTGTCCTCAGAAGCCGGCATTGCACAGATAATGCACTAAACTGTGACAATGCGGGCTAGGTGTCAGTAATTTAAGCTATGTAGGAAAAATACAGAACTTGATTTTCATCTCTATAGAAAAGAAGCTGAATTTAAAAAAAGGTCTTCAAAGTTAGGGGAATTATGAAAAATTAATCACACTTCCACATTTAAGATTGAACGAGCTGGTTTGAAAGTGAGGAGCTGTGGAGAGAGATTAGTTTCAGACAAAGGATAACAAACATCTCAACCAAACTCGAGACTGAAGTGAAAGGATCCAGGGCTGGATGGAGGACATTGAGGGAGAGATTAAGTAAAGCATGCAATGAGCCTCAACACTTTCTCTCTTCCTTGAATGTCCCAGTTTTCATACAGTCATTCACTGTCAGGGTCTCCTAGGAACCGTTCATGCTGAGGGAGGCTCTGGCAATATCGAAATCGAGAGCCACTATGAGTCACTGCTGTCAAGGTGGGGAGGGCAAAGTGCATGAAAAAAAATACTGAGTCAAAACTCCCCCCCTGTTCCTGCATTGAATAGGATGGTATTAAGTTTACCAGTGTGAAACCATCCCAATGCCTTCACTGTTACAACAGGTGCCAACTATCCCGGCTGGCTCATTGTACCTGCCCTTACTCAATTAGTAGTTCACAATCCCCAAAATTCTCAATCTTTCACGCAATTCCTCCCCAGCCTCGTACCTCTGTCTGCCTGTAACCTCCCCTCATCCTAACAGAACTTGCGAAATTCTCTGTGCCTCCTTCTTCGGCTTTTTCTGCAACTTTCCCTGAGCCTCCAGTTACAATAATCCAGCTCCTGGAAGACCTTTCTTAAGCCTCATCTCCCCACCACAATCAAATGCTTAAACCCTTACCTTCCTTCGGTTCACCTCCCCTTAGCTGGGAATCGGTTTCCCCTCAGGCCTCTCCGGGCCACCTCAGAATATTTTACTACGTTAAAAGCTGGTAGTGGGGGGTGGGTTGGGGGTTTGAGGGGTAAGCATTATAAATGAAAGCTGTTGCTTTAAGCAGTTTACCTTGAGCAAGATATGAGAGAGTGTCTGTTGGACCGGCAGTCTGGGGCTCAATATCTCTCGGTGTCAACATCGGTGTGACGTCGGCACCTCGCTGGTCCTCCTGGGCAGTGCTACTGAGCCTGGTTTTAGACTGAGAGTCACTTGTCCTGGGGGTCTCAGGCACCACTGTACTGGACGTAGTTGAAATCGGAGCCGGTGTACTGACAGTGCTGGGTGCAGACGGGAAGAAGCTTTCCTTACAGTCCTTGGAGTATTTCGGCGTGGTTGGAGTCTCTCCTGGCTGCAAAAACAAAAATTACCTTTAGACCTTTTATTGCAGAGTTCAAGTATGCCCAACATTCAGCTGTGTGGGAAATCTTCTTCATAGAAATGTCCCATGCTCTGTTTGAGCCTCACGCGCCAGGCCAAGATTAATGATGTCTGGAAGACAAGACTCTCTCAATGCTCCTGCCTACAGTAAAAATTCACTGCTCTGTCTTGATGTGTGCAACATCCTGTGGTTGTGAAAAATGCTGACTTTACCCGAATCATAGAATAGAATCCCTACAGCGTGGAAGGAGGCCATTGTGTCCATTAAGTCGCACTGACCCAAACCAACACCTTCCCCTATTGCCGTAACCCTGCATTTCCCATGGCCGATCAACCTAACCTGCACATCTTTGGACTGTGGGAAGAAACTGGAGCACCTGGAGGAAACCCATGCAGGCACGGGGAGAATATGCAAACTCCACACAGACAGTCGCCTGAGGCTGGAATTGAACCAGAGTCCCTGGCGCAGTGGGGCAGCAGTGCTAACCACTGAGTCACTGCACCGCCCAGTGGGAAGCCAGGATACCAGCTTTGTTAGACAACTCACACAGTAACAAACGTCCTGATTTCTCACTCTGTAGCTGCTGGATGTGAGCTGGGTGTGAGAGGAGAGAGGCAGGCAGAGAAAATGCTGCACTGGGGGAAATGAGAATCATTGCCTGACACACTTGCTTCACAAGCCTACGCTCCACTAAAACATTTACTGAGTATTAATTAGCCTGGCTCCCATTGCTGCATACAGGATTGGTCAACATTAATCCCTGTGCTGTGAGAGAACCACGTTGATGAATATTTTTACGGCTGATGTCAATCCACACTCACACTGTTGTGGTACTGCATGATAAACAGATTACTGAAAAAATGCTTCAGAAGATAATGCTGGCTCACGTTACTGACAGCAACCCAGGAACAGGTCGCTGCGTGCACATGCTTGTATAAACCAAATATTGAACTGAACATCAAAACCAAATTAAGCCATTCCGGCCTATTCCAGGATCACTCAAGCCCTGCTCTCCATCCCCAGCTTCAGGCTCAGCACCTGAGGGCTCAGTCTATTCAGGGGTTCCTGTCAGTCTCCTGCAGATAAAATGGTAAACATTGCCGTAACCTTCCTACACTACCAATTCCATCTTTGAGCAGCAGAACATTGCAACGTTAAAATTAATAATATTAACATAAGGGAGTGCAAAGGATACCAACAGATTCAAGAACAGCTTCTTCCACACTTATCAGACTTACGAACAGACCTCTCTTATATTAGAGCTGATCTTTCTTTCTCTGCAGCTGTAACACTATCTTCTGCATTCTGTTCCGTACTTAGGTAAGGTGTGACTTAACTGGTTAGCACGCAACACAATACTTTTCACTGTATCTCAGTAAATGTGACAATAATAAATCAAAAGGAGATTCACCAGGATGTTGCCAGGCTCGAGAGAGAGACTAGATAGGCTCAAGTTCTTATGCTTTGAGCAGAGGAGACTGAAGGGAGAATTGATTGAGGTGTACATGATTATGAGGAGCATGGATAGTATTGATAGGAATAAAATTTTCCCTTTAGTGTTAATTACCAGGGGCAATGACTTATGGAGCAGGAGGATTAGAGGAGGTTTAAGAAGAATAGATTTTCACCCAGAGGGTGGTGGATATGTGGAACTCACTGCCTGAGAGGGTGGTAGAGGTAGGAATCATCACAAGATTTAAGAAGCATTTAGGTGAACACTTGAAATGTCACAGCATACAAGACTACAGGCCAAGTGCAGGGACACAGGTTTATGAGTATAGATTAGCGCTTAATAGCTGGGGTGGACACAATAGGTGGAAGCGCCCCTTTCTGCGCTGCCATACTCCACAACTCATAAAACAGCTCAGAACAAACATGGTGGTCAAAAAACAGATCTCCACAACATTGTGGGGTTTTTTTGAGATCTGCCTGCTCACCCACATTCAATCCTCCTACAAACATGAGGGCCCAGAACCTCCGACAGAAAGACCATTTCACAGGAATTACACACTCGCACTGTGAGGGCACCCTGAAGCTGAATCTCCAGGAATTGCCTGGGAAGTTGAAAGTTCTGATGGTCAGTTATTCGGCATATGGAAACCTCTGGAAAAGTCCCCAACTTTGAGTTAGAGTCAGAGATTTTCAGAGGGTCCTGTCTGACTTATCTTAATAAATTACCCAGGAAATATTTGAAGAAATAAAACCTCCTTGAACTCCTGGGAAATAGGGTTTCTTGGTCCTGAATGGAAGATCTGGGCTGAGATCATCCACAGATCAGCCACTCGAGCTAACTTTCGCTAGATCCCATTCCCCTACAACCTGTGCTCACCAGTTTACCTTGGCTCCTGGTTGGCTTATCTCAATTCTAAAGTTCTCCTGCTCATTTTCAAACCCCTCCATGTCCTCACCCATCCCTTTTTTCAGCAACATCCTGCAGATCCTCAACCTCCTGATATCTCTGCACTCCTCTTATTCTGGCCTCTAGAGCATCCTTGATCTTGAACTATTCTACCATTGGCAGCTACATTCTCCATTGCATTAGGTCAAGTTCTGGATGACCCTTCCCACACCTCTCCATCTTCGTATCCCACTCTCTTTCTTTCACACAGGTCTTAAAACCTCCCTCTGACCAAAATTTTGCTCATTTGACCTGATACCTCCTGATTATGTAGCTCAGTGCCATTTGTCATTTTATAATGCTTCTGTGGAATGCCTTGGAGCATTGTACTGCATTAGGTTGCTGGAAGGAAGTAAGCTGCTACGTTACAGACTGAAGACTGGCACAAAGTGGTAATGTCACCGAACTGGCAATCCAGAATGCCAGACTGATGTTGGAGGGTCATGGGGTCAAATCACACCATGGCCAATGGTGAAATCTGAATTCAGTTAAAAGTCTGATGATAACCACATAACTATTGTTACTGATGTTAAAAAGCCATCTGGTTCACTAATGTCCTTTAGCGAACAAAACTGCTGTCTTTACCTAGTCTGACCTACACGTGACTCCAGACAATGTAGTTGACTCTTAACTGCCTTTTGGGCAATTACGGACGGGCAATAAATATTGGCTTTCGCATCCCATGAACAAAAAAAATGCTTCACACCACACCCACTATTCTACGTAGTCAGTTCAGTTCGGGCCACTATATACTTATTGTTTGATCTTCACTACTCCATTGGAGACAGTGTATTGGTGGAGATATGACATTGAACCAGGTGTCTTTTAGTTTCAACAGGTTAACATGCTGATTCTCACACCAGTAAAATGCAGTAATAAACTAAAGCTAGTAAAAACCTCAGCAAACATCATTAGACAGAACGCAACATACAATCCCATAACAATGACATTCAAAACAACTAAAACCCTCCTCCCTCCAATTGAGAATGCAGCCCACATAATTTATCTGATCAAACTTTGATACCAGGATGAATCAGAGGATGTGAAAGTGATATCTGGAACTCGGTTCCCACAGGCTGCCTGTAACATCCCATTTCCAAGTCTGTTGCAGAGCCCACCTTCCTTCCTTCAGCTTGCCCTGCTAGTTGCTCGGAGTGCGGAGAGCTGCGGTATTCTCACACTCTGGCTGCAGCTTCCCAATCCTCCTCTCCCCTTTCCAAGTGAGACTGCATACCAAGGCTACATGCAAATCTATTATGTCCAGAGTACACCTCCAGACAAGGATGACAGAGGCGCCATGGCAACCATTCTCTGAAACTGTTAACGAAATGGATATACTTAACCAGACACGTGGCTCCAAAGCTCTGTAGATTTTCTCTCTCTCAGAATCATTAAACCCCCTCAGCAATTTACATAGCAACTCCCGGGAAAATCACATGGCAGGACACTGGTACCGTACTCGTTTTTATAAAAGGAAGTGCACACATTATCAGAAATTGCAGCTCAGTAAGTCGGCTAAACTACAGCAAACCTGGGCTTTGTACCTGGACTAGCTACATTTGAATAAGATGATTCTGCCCCTGGAGTAGCAGCCTTCTAACACAGACAGTTCAGTTTCATGGTACTCTGAGCTGTGAGGAGCAATTCGTCCTCCAATTTCTGGCAAAGTGCCTGAACTCTACACAGCCTCCTGTTTATGCTGCTACGTTGGTGATAGCAACACAATGGAAGCATTAGGCGTGTATTGTTCATACATATCATAACCAAATCTCCTCGAGCGTCACTGCCAAAAGCAGGAAATTCAATAAGCTCCACATAACACTGCCTCATTCAAAAGAGGATTTTTCGTGAAATGTGGCATGCAATTCTGTGAATGTTAATATTTCAAACTGCAGCTGCAATCCGTGATGTAGGCAAAAAGTTGAAAGCCTTAAACATTTCAACAGCACAAGGTGAAGCAGCACTGGAACCACTCTATCTCAAGCGGGTTTAAGCCACACCATGTACTCATCAAGACAGCCACTGTATATTAAGATCTAAATCACTGACCATTCGTAGCAAAGCCCATTCTACACTCAGTAGCAGGAAGCAATGGCACAGTGGACTAGTCATCTGAAATCCCAGGTTAACATTATGGGACATGGTTTCAAATCCCATCACAGTGGAGGGTAAAATTTGAATTAAATAAAATCTAACTCAATGGCAAACATATAGCCACAGTCAATTATAATAAAAACCCATCTGGTTCTCTAATATAGTTCTGAAGAATGGTCGCTGGACTCAAAACATTAACTCTGTTTCTCGCTCTACAGATGCTGCTGGACCTACTGAGTTTCTCCTGTGATTCCAGACCCACAACAATGTGAGTGACTCTTAATTGGCTTCTAGGTATGGGATGGACAATAAATGCTGGCCAAATCCTCAATGCACTCATCCCATTAATGAATAGAAAATAATTAGTGTGGCATAGGCAATACAACTAGTCCATTTGTTAAAAAAGAGAAGGCTTCCTATAAAATGCAGACAATATTCTTTCACAACTTGGAGTGGTGCAGGAAGAATGTTTGCCCTG